TGATTGACATGCTTTCTTTTTTTGGTTCAAGCTTTGACTAGGATTGTTTTTGAAATTCCAAGGATTCCTTTCGTTTGTTGTGAATTAAAAAAAAAAAAAAATCTATTTTGTTAGATTTCTAGCTTTGATTCCCAGAGTTTCCCTCTTTATCCTTATACGTTTATTTCTGTCTCTTACAATGTTTTCTGTTAGGTAACACGTGGTTTGCTAATGAAGAAAGGAAGATGTCCAGTAAAGCCGTGCATAACTGCATCTTTGCATATTCTCCCCTGTGTTGACTTGTAATTACTGGCTTTCTGTGAAATTAGGCCTTTATGAAATGGACGTAGGTATGTGCGTTACCATTTCCAACTTACCCATTTGTATACTTAAGCAGGAGGAACCATAAATGAACTATATGCCCAGTATAATCCTGAAGTCTTTGCTTGCCCTTGCACTGCCCCCGAGGCTGTCGGCTGCTTTTTGTCAGCGAGGCGCCGCGGAATCGCCCTCGTTTTGTGCAGGAAGGTGGCCAGAAAACTGTGATTTAGCATCGTCAGTTCTGCTGCCGGCAGCGTGTTCCTCTGCGTGTGCTGCTCACGGTGAGGGTGAATTGAACAAGTGAGGGTGTCGGGCTTCCTTCTTGTTTCTTGCCAAAACCAAGTGCTTAGGCAGCCAGGCGGTGTGTTGCACAGGGTTGTGTCATCAGGCTGAAGACTGACAAGTCTTTTGACCTTCTGACTGATCAATGAAAATAGGGGAGTGTTGAGAGATTTCCGTGCCATTTTAGTCGCTCGTTTTCCTATAGACGTGGCGGCTGCTGCTTGTAGCCTATGGGAATTGGCAGAGGCTGCAACCAGGAGCGTAAGGTTTCAAGGGAAGTGACTTGACTAAATTGAACATCCAGCAATTTCATCCAGATGAAAGCGCAGAGAAGCTTTAGCCTTGGGAAGGGGAGAACTGAGTGGTCAACAGTGAGTGACTTGCATGATGCCATACTTGAATAGAGAGAATGAAGATGGATCAAAGAGGGCGTTTGAGTTCAGTGGAGACAGACACCCCCAGGACTTCAGGCACTCGAGAGAGTCCTGTGAGATCTTCTTCAAGGACTTGAAGCAACCTGATGAATGCTCAGTGGAAGGAGCTCTGTGCGTGGGCATGTGAGCAGAGGAGGCGCTTAGCAGTTGGAAGCAGCAAGCAAGAGGGCCTGCGTGCAGTGCAAGAGAGCAAGAGGAGGAATTGCGGGCAGTGCGAAGGCCTACAAGGTTGCCTTTGAAGTAGGAAGACAGCAGCTTTAAACATCCTACTAATTCTTTGTTTCTTCTCCTCAAAATGTACACAAGGGGAGGAAGGAGGAAGAGCGCTTATGTGAAGGTGAAAGAAGTAAAGGACCTATGTGTGCCTTAACATGCACGGTCTAGCTGGGAGCTGAGCGGCTGGGAGGGAGGCAGGACAGACACAGCCTTGGACTTGCCCGGGGCCTCTCTCCGGGGCAGCTCGGATGGCTTGAGAAGGAAGTCTTCATTGTGCCATTGGCCTGAAGGACTTTCTCTTGACTGGCTGCTGCATCCAGACCCTGGTGAAAGGTCTGCGGGCCCTGTCCTTGTAGCAGGGCTCACCTGGAGCTGGAGTAGGAGCCTGCAGCAGGCATTACGTTTCTGAGAGGAAATCCTTGTCCAGGAGTAAAATCCAGTGCCTCACCTGGGTAAGCACCACAGAATCACAGAGTGGTTGAGGCTGGAAGGGACCCCTAGGGATCATCCAGTCCAACCCCCTGCTCCAGCAGGGACACCCAGAGCACGGGCCACAGGGCGGCATCCAGGCGGGTTTGGAAGATCTCCAGAGAAGGAGCCTCCACAGGCTCCCTGGGCAGCCTGTGCCAGGGCTCTGTGTGGCGGGTGGGAGCGGGTGGGTTGGCGTCGGCGCGAGCCGTGCGGTTGCCGCTGCGCTCCCGCGAAGCCGCAGCGAGCGGCCGCTCCCGAGCGAGCTGCGCTGCGAGAGCTGCTTCGTGCTTTGGCGTGGGGCCCTTCCTTCCTTCCCGGAGTTGTTCGGATCCGTGTTTGGGTTCCCCTTCACAATGGCAGGTGTGAGGCGCATTGTGAGCCTGACAATGGCCTCCCGAGTGCGCGTCCGAGGCCGGCGGAAGGGACGACAAAGGAGACTCCGAAAACCGGAGTCCTCGGCTACTTAAACACTCTCATTTCTGAGCTGTTTGGCAAGTCAAGCCTTGCTGCCCAGAGGGTAAAACCAAGGATGCTGAAGTATTTCTTGGCCTCTCTTGAGCCTCTGTTAAAGTATTTATGGGCGCTCACAGCCCCTGTGTGTACGTGGTGCTGTGAGTGGCTCTGCAGGGCTGAAAGGCCGCTGGACACTGCCATGATGGGAATACATATTGTTGGCATACTTTGGGAAGTAGTGGGATTGTTCCAAATGCTCAAAATGTTGTTCAGAATTAAAGGTGCAAGGTAGTTCCATCTGCATGTGAGGAAGAATGTCTTCCCTGTGAGGGTGCCAGAGCCCTGGCGCAGGCTGCCCAGGGAGGCTGTGGAGTCTCCTTCTCTGGAGATCTTCCAAACCCGCCTGGATGCCGCCCTGTGCCCCGTGCTCTGGGTGTCCCTGCTGGAGCAGGGGGTTGGACTGGATGAGCTCTAGAGGTCCCTTCCAACCTCAACCACCCTGTGATTCTGTGATTCTGTTTTTACCCGCACAGTCCCTCTATCTCAACTTTCTGTAGCAGAGAAGGGCCATGGAGTTGGGAGTTCAGGAGTCGTTCCCATGATTTTTGCCGACAGCTTTTACGGAGTTGGCGTTGGCTGAAGGGAAGGGAGAAACTCGTGTGGCGCTTGTGAGCTGTAGCGTTTCGGTAGAGAAGCAAGGTAATCTTTGGTTCAGCTGCCTTGGAAGCATCAGGGCCTTCATTTTTTAATCACCCTGCACCTCAACAACCTGAGGAGCTGCTGCGTCCAAGGCCCTGAAGAGGCGGTGAGAGGCAGCCTGGGCCCTGGAGCTTGTGGCAGTGCCCCCTTGTCAGGGCCAGAAATTCAGCCCTGGCTGCCGTGGTGGGAGAGATCCCTGCGTGGCCGCTGGCTCTGAGCAATGAATTAGGGCAGGTTTCTCCACAGCAGGCGCTGCGAATGCCGGCCAGCACGGCTGGAGACGAGTTGTCTCCCACCACCTCAGACGGGGGTAGGTGGTTACCCTGGGACAGGCGAGGGGGGTACCCGGCTGACCCGGGGGTGCCGCTCACGCCGGTGCCCCGGCCCTGCGGCGGGGTAGCCCTTTACGGGGCTGGGATTGCTGCAGTGAACCCTGCTGCTCGGCTCCCCTTCGTGCGCAGCGAGTTGGGAAGCTGTTCATAGGCTAGGCAGGGAAAGAAAGCAGGGAGCATGTCCACAAGGATGCTTTTAATGTATTTAGCTAGAAAGGCTTTTAATGCTTTTGCTTTCTTGCTTCTTCCACTTATAACAGTGAGGTAACTTTAGCATGCAGTTTTATTTTGCTTCCCTTTTCCACTCTGCCCAGCAATTGATCGTCTCTCCCCTTTCTTTCCTTATTTTCCTTTTTTTTTTCCTTCTCTTTTTATTCCCTCTCTCTTTAAGTCTCTAAAACTGCTCTTCTCCTTGCGAATGTTTCGGGGAAGGGATAGATCTTGCCATGCAAATGGCAGCATTTGCAGTAATGTGCTTTATTTTAAAAATTGTTTCGTGGAGTAGTTGGATGCCTGAAAGCAAATGGCTTTAAGAACCTGAAGGGTAACTCGGGAGAGGAGTAATAGCTCGTTTGGACTTGTCAAGAGCAAATCATGTCAAGCGAACCTGCTTTTGGTGTGACCTTACGGAGACGGGGTAGTGTAGTAGAGATCTTGACTTGAAAATGCTCGAGCTCCTGTTCTCATAAGTAGTCTAGGAAAGTGTTGGGTTACTTAAACGGCCTCAGAAGGGATGCACAATTTGTTGGCAGTTCTGTTTCATGGTAACTCTGAGTGCTTCAGTGCAGAGTTAGGCTGGTGTGTTTAATGGCAGAGTCTTTAAGCAGTCTCTCAGACTTCACTGTGTTTCACTAGTTTCCCAGGGATCTTTCCGGCTGTAATTCCACATGAAACGCATTTCCTCGCGTGGTGACTCCAGGAGTTTCGAAGGATGCTCCGAGCTGAGGAGCGCTGGCTGCCGCTCCCTTGGGGCACATGTAGCGCGTTGGCTTTTGGGGGGCGCTTAAGCGGAGCGAGGCGGAAGCCTGGCCGGGCAGCAGGTTTGCAGGAGAGCCGGGGGCTTCCCGAGGCGGGCACGGTGAACCCGCCTGCGGCGCCGCCAAGCCCCGCGGGGCGCGAGCCAGCGGCGCGAGAAGGCCCCGGCGTGAAGGGAGCCGCGCTCTGGGTGCCGTGCCTGGAGCTGTGAGCTAACAGGGACGGGGGGTCCGAGGGAGAAGCGGCTTCCCCAGCGCCATGGCCTCCTCTGCGGCAGCCCTGGGAGTGTTGGAGGGGAGAGGGAGCCCGAGGCGGGAGCTCCTGGGGCTGCCCCGCTGGGCCCGTCCGTGTGGGTGCCTTTCTGGCCGGCCACGGCCCTGCCCTGGTGTTCACTGCCAGACCCGCTCCCCTGGAGGAGACGGTGCTGCTCGGTAGGCTGCACTGGTGCTCTGGTTCCTTCAGCTGGAGGAGACCATGGGGAGATGGTTTTATGCCTGATATCGGAGCTCAGAGCAAGGCTGTGGTTACTGCTGCTCATGTTAATCAGATACAAAAATTAGTGCGCCTCTTGGCTTTGCATCACATTCTATGTGCTGAGCTGTTTGCATCTGGAAAAGGGAATATTTTTGTTACAATGTTCTACATGAAAAAATCTCTCTGCTAAATATATTTAATTAAAAAATATGCTCAGTGTTTTATTCTTGTGTTTTTTTTTTTTTCCTCTGTTACACTGAAACGCACATGCTGGTTGAAATGTTTGCTTTATTCTACTCTTCTTGGTTGGTGGTCTTGCTTGTGGATGTATTCTGATTATCTCCATCTTCTTTTTGATTTCCAGGAGACAAAGATGGCAGCAAAGTGACTACAGTAGTGGCAACTCCTGGACAAGGTCCAGATCGACCACAAGAAGTTAGCTACACAGACACCAAGGTGATTGGAAATGGATCTTTTGGTGTCGTGTATCAAGCCAAACTCTGCGATTCAGGAGAGCTTGTGGCCATTAAGAAAGTCCTGCAGGATAAAAGATTTAAGGTGAGAATGCATAACTGCAGAATATTCTTCATGGATTTTGCTTCATTTTCCATTCCTTTGATGGCAAACTTTCCTGCTGATTATTTTCTTTGGAACACATAAATGCGAGCAAAACTTTAAAGACCAAAGATTAAACAGATGGTTTGTGATAAATGCATTTAGTTTAACTTGAAAATCAGTGAGTCACTGCTGTTATGTTTGAGTTACTGCAAAACAGGAAGCTGAAGGTCCTGGTTTGATGTTGTGGTGCTGTTCCCGATCCCAGACTAGATTCCTCACACAATGAAATGGGCGAACAGAGGAAAAGCTGTTCTTAAACTTACTTTATTCTACCATAGAGTCTTCTCCAGTCGTTATGAATTAACCCAGAAAACACTGAGCCCAGGGCAGTTTGGCGTGAAGGGGAGCTTTATGAATGTGACCTAGTCTGGCAGGTTTCCTAGGCTAGTGGAACTTCTTTTCTGAGTTAGCAAGCAGCGTTTGGAAAGAAAATCATATGTATATCTGGGTGATATTCAAAGCAAATAAAAGTTAAGGGCCACTAGCAAACTCATCACCGCTATTACCTCTAGTGCTAGGTGGACGTAGAAGGCTTTGTTGCTTTCCTTTGCAATCAAGTGGCCTGCAGATGAACTTGTGCTAGCAAGCTGTGAATGGCAACAAAGCTTTGGCTTTCAACACCTGAAATCAAAAGCCTCAGTTTTCTCTCCTTTCTCTGAATTTACTAGTTTTTCCTCTGCTAATACACAATTAGCTTTGCTGATGTTAATTGTAATTTGTATCCCATTCTGCTACCAAGATCATTCTTTAAAAGTGTACCTTTTTGGAGGGCCTTGAAATTGATGCTGCCATCACCACAGGCACCAGCATGTGAGAGACGTTAAATAAAGAACGGAAATGGGAAGTATTTTTAAATCAAAGAAGGGCAAGTTGAAGGCTCCTGCACCTGGGGAGGAATAAGCCCAGGCACCAGGACACATTAGGGGCTGACCTGCCAGAAAGCAGCTCCATGGGGAGGGAACTGGGAGTGCTGGTTGACACCAAGTTAGCCATGAGGCAGCAGTGCCCTCATAGCCAAGGAGGCCAATGGGATCCTGGCTGCATCAGGAGGATGTTGGCAGCAGGTGGAGGAAGGGGATCCTGCCCCTCTGCTCAGCTCTGGGGAGGCCGCACCTGGAGTGTTGGGGGCAGTTCTGGGCACCCCAGGACAAGAGGGACATGGAGCTCCTAGAGAGGGTTCAGCAGAGAGCAACAAAGATGATTAAGGGACTGGAACATCTCTTGTATGAGGAGAGACTGAGTTAGCCTGGAGAAGAGAAGGTTGAGAGGGGATCTGATCAATATGTGTAAGTACCTTGGGGGAGAATGTAGGGAGGATGGGGCCAAACTCTTCTCAGTGGCAGCCAGTGACAGGACAAGGCGTAATAGCCATAAATTAAAATACAGGCAGTTCCTCCTCCATAGGAGGAAGAACTTCTTCCCTGTGAGGGTGCCAGAGCCCTGGCACAGGCTGCCCGGGGAGGCTGTGGAGTCTCCTTCTCTGGAGATCTTCCAAACCCGCCTGGATGCCGCCCTGTGCCCCGTGCTCTGGGTGTCCCTGCTGGAGCAGGGGGATTGGACTGGATGATCCCTAAAGGTCCCTTCCAACCTCAGCCATTCTGTGATTCTGTGAAATAAGCTGAACACGTGCAGTGCTTTTTATCTTGTGCTTGAGAAGAGCATGTTATCTTACAATTTTCTTACATCTGCTAATTCCTGGATTGTATATGTGTTTAAGGTGATAATTGATATTCGCAGTCAAATGCAGGAGCAGAATTCCAGGAATGGCTAGGAGATGGGAATGCTTGAAACTCTGAGGTAGTTGTACTTGAAGCTGCTATTTGAATTCTTCTCATTGTGTAGTGTTAGGTGGAAGAGCAGTTCGTTTCCTACCAGTGTCCAGCTGCTTTGCTGTCAGCTGGTGCTTTAGATCAAAATCCTTGACTGAGCTTGCATTACCTCACGACTTTGAGGTTGTGCATCATGTTGACACGAAAATTTGGCCCGGAATCTTAGTTTCTGCTCACCACATACTTGCAATACCAACAATCTGTCATGTCTTAAAGGTTATTTGTGAATCAGTAATGGACACCTAGAATAAAAAGACTGGCTTTAGTTATATTTCTTGCAGTAGCTGATTCTGTGATACTCTGACTAGATACCATTTTAATTTGGATTTTAAGCAATTAGAAAAAAACATGGTGTCTTTGAACAGGAGCCCTCTCTCCACTATTAAGAAGAAGCGGTGAAATCTAAAGGCTGGGTGTTTCCCCCTTGGATTCTCACCTAATTGCTCATGCCTGTTGGACACAAACTGGGAACACCACCTTGGCAGAGACTTAAACATTACCTAGAAGGGAGTAATAACATGCATGTGTGCATTTACTGGTAAATAGTATCAATTGAAAATACATATTTTTAAAAAATCCTAACTTTTTGGGGTCATACCTGCAATGTTAGTTGGGTGTTTTCTCCTGTTCCTACCCAAAGTTGCATACCAGTGGTATGACCTCCTCCACCTTCATCCTCATCTCCCTGATTTTCCCCACCTTCATCTGTGCGGTGCTGCCTTTCTCAACCTCTCTTTCCATCTTCTCACCTGGAGGCACATGTTCTCCTGGCTGGAGGTGTATGTTCCTGCGAGGGGCTAGTTACCCCTGAGGTTAGATGAAAGCCTCTGCCTGGGCACATTTGGCGACAGGGGACCCATATTTTGTATCCAGAGTCGTGTACAGTTACCTCAGAGGGTGCTGCTCCTCGGGAACATCTGATACAGGTTGTAAGTGGAGGATCAAATGCTCCTCCATTAACCAGCACCTCCTGGACGTGTGTTGGCTGCGCCGCCGGGCTGCAGCTCCTGGTCAGAGCGCACAACTCGGAGGTGTAGCCGGGTTGGGCTCTTGCCACCCCGGCAAGACAGACAGGGATCCTGCAGAAATCCACCACCTGCCGCCTGCCCGTGAGGAGGGATCGTGAGGAAAACCCTGTGCCAGGCAGTGGCAAGTGACAGTAGGGTGTGGGCTGTGGTGTTGTGTCTGCTTTTTTGTGGTTTGGACTCAATGTTGTCAACTTCTGAGGGAACAGAGGGAGGCTTGAGACACATGTCTGTGCAGGCCCTAGGGATAGAGGACAGTTAATGTGTGGAAGTTGCTTTATGCAGCGTGGAGCATCAGTGCAAATTTCTGCTGTCTTCTCCAAGGTGGTGCCTGCTTGCCACTTATACCCCAGCAGGTTTTACTTGGTGCACGCTGCATAATTCCTCTGCTTTCTTAGTGAAAATAAAGAAGTTTTGAGAAGCCAGTGAGACATCCTTGAAAGTTAAGGGTCGTGATTCAGAGGCTGTAGCGAGTGCCAAGGCAACACAATCTCCTGGCAGTCTTCCTGTGTGTCACACATGACAGCAAAATGCACCCGCTTGGCAGTGTTCACGTTTTGGTAAAGAGCATTTTAAAATTCACATGTGCCTAGTTCAGTGTAACCTGCCAGAGCACCGGTGTGGTTCCGCTAGGCACAGGAACAAGCAGCTGGGGAGAAGAGCGTGAAGAGGGTTTCAGGCCTCATCTTTTGGTGTGCAGTTGTTGAGAACTCGTGAGGCTGCATGATGCAGCTGCTCCCCGTGTTAAGAATGGAAACATAAGTCACGTTGGTTTGGGTGCTCTACCGGTTACTGATGCGAGTGCTATGAGTGAGAATAGGAATCAGTTTTGCTACAGTCTAATCTGCAAAAAGTAATAACAACTAAGCAGGTTTATTAACACAAATAGGAGCATTTTTTTGTATTCTTCTCATTTGTAGAAAATCCTGTTGGAATGAATACATGAATTACTAGAATTACATTCTGGTTGACAGATTGTAGATACTTATGAGCGGAGCGTATCTGGATTGCAATACTGAGTGTGTCCTGTGTTTTGCTAGGCTGCTACCATACAAATGATGGGCAGAATTCTTAGTAATTCTGCCCCTTTTCGGAGAGTCTGGATGGGGCATTGCTGGCAGTAGCTCCTATGGCCCTCAAGCACGCAGCAGGAGAAGCCCAGTTTTCCATGCTGTGAATTGCTTGTATGTCGGGATCAGATTGACTCAAATTGCTTCAAATATATCAAGCTGCTGCAAGTAGAAAAAGGGCACTTCTCAAAGTGCTCCGTATCCGCTGTTTGTGTTAATCACAGCGGCTCCCGATCGTAGCAGCTCACGTGAAGGAAAGGGAGAATCCTCCTGGAAGAACAGGCAGGGCGTTCGGGATCCTGGGCCGTGCCAGCCCTTGAGGAGGCTCCCGGGTTTTACACAGGGGGCAACGCTGACCCGGTTTCCCTCTGGGTCAGCCCGGAGGTGCCGTCCCGTGTCCCGTGCGTGCGCGCGGGCAGGACAGGGCGCCGCTGCCTGCAGGGGCTGCACCGGCTCCTCGCAGCCACCTGGGGCTGGCAGAACTAGCAGAAGGAACTAGCTGCTCCCAAAGCCCTTCCAAAAGCCTCCCTGGAAGCCTTCCTATCCCCAGCTGCAAGGTTGCAGCCCCGCTGAAAGACTGCGCCTGTCAGGTCTGGCATGGGAAATCAGAGATGTCTCAGCACACGGTGGGATTTTTTTGCATGTTTTAAGAGCTGGAAAGCTGTTCTCAGTTTCAGCTGGTTTCTTACAGACTAGGCTTTAGCTGTTGTATGCAGGCCGGATCTGCAGCCCTGGCTGAGCTTGGGGTAGCCACGTTGCTGGAGATGGTTACTGCAATAGCAGTGTTTCTCATAGGAGAGCTTCACCTGGGCGTTTCTTGAAGGCTGCCTGCCCTGAGCCAGATGTGTCCTCTGGTAGTAACGGCGGTTTCAAATGCCTGTGTGTCCAGAGAGGTGTCTGAATTTTCATTCCCAGCCTTGGGTTTCGGCTGATTTATCTACTCCTTGCTGGCAAGGCCAGTGGTCGGTGTGTAGCTTTGCTGGCGGGTTTGGAGGGCTCAGAGCCCTGCTCGCTCT